CATTGCAAAGAGTCACTGGTTTGGTTTGAGGCCTCTGGTTTCTGCTACACTACCGATGTTGGACCCCTCACTGGGGCTCCTCTTGCTCTTTCCCTGTGTCATGGAGACCCTGCAGCTTTGGGAGTCAGCCCCCTCACCCGCCACATGTGGCAGGGGCAAAGAGGAGATGTCATCTTTCCCTCGCCCTCTCCACCACGTGGCAGATGAGGGGGTTGTGACCAGCTCTCCTGCTCTCACACCCTCAGGGCCAGCTCACCCACACCTCCACCAACAGGATCAGCTCTGCTGTGCTGCCCAGGAGAGGTGCAGGGCCCGCTCTCCTGAGTGCTGCAGCTGGTAGAGGGTCGGCTTTCTTGCCAGCCGGAGGTGGGGGGAGGACATCTTTCCCTTGCTCCCACCACCATACGGCAGACAAGGGAGGTGGACCAGCTATGTCCCTCTCATGCCCTCAGAGCTGGGTCACCTGCACCCTTGTCTACAGGGTCAACTCTTCTGTGCTTCCCTGGCTAGGTGTAGGTAGGTCTTGCTCTCCCAAGTGCTGCAGCTGGTGATTGGTTGGGTCAGGTCCCCTACCTGCTGTAGGTGACAAGGAGAGAAGGGCATCTTTCCCTCACCCATGCCACCACATAGCATATGAAAGGGACATGACCTGTTTTCCCATCTTCATGCCCTCAGAGCCAGCTCACCATGCTCCTGAGAACAGGGACATCTCCATTGTCCTGTTCAGGTGAGGTGTAGGACTCTTTCTCCTGAGTGCTTCAGCTGGTGAAAGAAAGAACCAATTCTCCCTAGTGTTGCAGCCAGTGAGGGGTGGGGACAACTCTGTACAGCCCTATCATCTCTGCCTTTGGTGGTATATCAGGAGCCACACACATCAACAGAGATCATGTCTGCATCAGAGCCATTAACCAAGACATGGGCCTCAGTAGCTGCCTAGGCCCAGACATCGCCATGGCCATAGGTGTCAATGAAGTTCCTCCCTCCCTCCCTCCCTCCCTCCCTCCCTCCCTCCCTCCCTCCCTCCCTCCCTCCCTCCCTCTCTCTCTCTCTCTCTCTCTCTCTCTCTCTCTCTCTCTCTCTCTCTCTCTCTCTCTCTCTCTCCATACCACACCATCTCACCATACATTTGCTCACCATAGTAGTGCCTGTCTGCCTTGTACCTCAAGGTGCCGGATGGATCTGTTTTCTCTCGGGAGTGAGGCAGATCACCCCAGGGTGTCTTGTAGGTCCCCTTGTCCCACTCAGTCTCTCCTAGCCCTGGGCAGGACCATGCTTCCTCATCACAAAGAGATCACAATACTGCCCACCTGCCCACCTGTCTGGCTCCTGGTTGATGCAGAGGTGTTGCTGGAGTCCTCTTGTGGGCTAGAAAAAATGGGTAATAATAATACTTCCTGGGGAAGGGTACGATGAGATGTAATTGGCAAGATAAAAGAAAACCTATGGTAATTGATTCCCCTAGTCATGTATCTGGCTAGTTAATCAGTTACATTAGATTGCCAACCAGAGTACTATTACTGAGTTGCCAATTACTACTTGTCAATTCTGACTTTTTTTGAAATCCAAATAGAAGGAGGCTCAAGTGTGAGATTGCTGTAAGGAAGAACATTTACCTTAAAATTCTGGACAAATTGTAAAAACTCAATGGTCTAGCACTAGGGGAAAGGTTAAAGCAGGTAATATATTCAGAAGATGGCATGCCATGTTGAATTACAAATGGTTTAAGATAGAGAAAACAGAGCATGTTTAAGCGATAGTTCAATATAGATTATAAAAAGTAAAGGCTGTTCATTTTTAGAGAAGGTTTATGATATTTCAGATCTAACAGTTTATGGTTCAGTGTTACAAATGTTACAAATCACAAAAATTCTTACTTAAGATGTTAATGCAGTCTTCTCAGGTTTATAGATACGTAGAAGTGTTTTTTAGTTTTTAGAAAATGATAAATATAGATTTGATTCAGGGATTCTCCTCATTTTCCCTCACAGCTTCCCTTTTAGATGACAGGTTCGTAGAGACTGGTGGTGTTATCTTTGATATGGTGCCAGTGCCATTTCTTTTTTAAAGTGTGCTATTTTTAGCTAATGCAGATTTCCACTAAATAAACTGTTTGACAATGAGAAAGAGGAATGGCAGAGGATAAGAAATGAGAGCAGAAGAAAGAGAGAAGAAAATCTTCTAACTAGGTTAAGAGGCTCATGTTAAGTACTCACAAAATGAATAGGTCCCCAGGCCGTCTTCTGTAGAGGCTATAGCAAAATGATTATATAGATCTGGAAAAAAAACAGATGTTTTCCTTAGTGAATAATTATTCCTATTGTTGTTGTGTATATCTGTTTAAAATACATCATGGATTGAAAGCAGAAGGCCCAAATAATATGTGAATGATCAGTCAAGGTTCAAGTTCAAGTATTAGTCTCATATTTCCTCAATTGAGCCCTACATTGCTTCAGTGTGTGTGTGTGTGTGTGTGTGTGTGTGTGTGTGTGTGTGTGTGTGTGTGTGTAGTATGTGTATGGGTACATGTGTTTGCACATGTGAGTGGAGGTTGGACATTCATGGTAGATGTCTTTATCACACTCCAAATTATATTTTGAGCCAAGTTCTGTCACTGAAACTGGAGTTCATGAATTTGGCTAGAGTGGCTGGCCTGCCCCTGCTCTCTAGCACTAGTATTACGGGCACAAATCACCCTGCCTTTAAAAACTTAGTGCTAAAATTGATCCCGGGTTCTCATGGTTTAGCAGCAAGTACTGTTCTGCCTGAGCCATCTCCCAAACCCCATTTGCTTCATTTTTAAAGCAACTTCTATAATGATAAAATCTATTTTTCTTTTCTGGTAATGTATATAATATGGAAAGGGAAAATCTCACAGGGTCTTACCCTTAAACAAGAATTACAGGTAACTAAGGAATGCTGAGAATGGGAGAAATAATCTTTCCAGGAATAAGCCCCCTAATTAGTTATCCACTACTAATTGATCATATGTGAAACAACATACATGTAACTAACACTGAACAGACTAAAAACTGTAGGTATATATCTATGCACTTATATATGTATATGTAACAATATTAAAGAAAATAGGCCATGAATTTGAAAGGGAGGATATGAGAGAAATTTGAGAGGAAAAGGAAGGGGTAATGATGTAATTGTGTTTTAATTTAAAAAATAAAAGCACACAAGCCTGGTTTAGCATGTTTGAAAGTGAAGGGACTTACAGTAAATAACAACAGCCATTAGCAACTTAACCATCCTGAGAAATACAAAAATCTGAGTGCAGTCACTTATTTTTATACATTTACAGCATATAAATTTTTTTAAAAATTAAGATTGTGTATCATTAGCTCTTCCAGACCTTTCAATTTTCCCCTCTCAGATGCCTATCATAAACATCTTTCCAATAAAACTTCAAAACTATGATTTTAGCATGCAGAAAACCTTTCAGTACCATGAACATTAGTCAGTAGGAGTGAAGCTTCTAGGTAGGCAGCATCTGGACTTCTACATGTTTGATGAGTTATACAGCCATTGTCTTCAGCAACAGTGTTTTGGGTACTCACCAGACACTACTGCTCAGGCATGGATTAAAGCCAATAGGAAGTCTTTATTATCTGACTGGCGAATCCCAGTGTGGCAATGAACCTTTCTCGGGGTGAGCTTTTAAGTACAAGACCCATGTCCTGGGTTGACATACTTTAGTTAACAGGAACAGTTAGCCAGAAGTGGAACTACAGAAGCTAAAAAACAAGGTTAGTACCTTTAGCTTTCCCAGAACTGTATGGACATTGGTGTATTAGGCCTTTGTTTTAGTTTTGGCTGCCTGAATAGTGCTTCCATCATGGAGTCAGTTGTGTTAAAGTCTACAAACCTGCTAGGTCTGGGACCCTGTTACATTCCCCACTGGTCTTAGTAAATGAGTCAAATCATGGACTCATCCTGTATTAGTTAAGATTCAGGGCCTTAATGTTAATCCAATGAGAATGAGAATTAAAGTCTTAGCCAATGTTGATAGCAGAGTAATTAGCCAGAGAGACCAAGAGAACAGAGACTGGTACTAATTATTTCCCCAATCATGAAAATATTTCCTCTAATTACTCCTGATCAATTGGCATAGAAACAACAGTTTCTCCCAAAGCCACACATAGTTTCTTTATCTCATGAAAAGTCTAAGCCTTTCCAATTTTGTAGGACCATTTTTGCAAGTGAATCTAACTGTTGTTTTCATTCAGAAACTAAAACTTCTTAATACCTCTAGGTCTTGATCAACCTATTTGGAAAGCATCAGAAGAGGCACATTTAGTCAAACCATTGGGACATGCCCACCAAATACTCTCAGAGGCCCAGTAATATTGTTGTTATCCATTAACCCATTAGGCAGAATAACAGGCCTCAGAATAAGGGAAAGGGCCTAGGTTAAGACCTCTAACGTTAATTTGGGCTGCTCCCTGTCACGGCAAGTTTTGTCAGTCAATGGACTGATAGTCTAGTTAGTTCCTAGCCCTATGTAGTACAGATGTCAGGTGTCTAAGCATAACCAGCAATCCTGACTGATTTTTGGCTGGAAATGATTAACTCCGCCCTCAGAGTCCCTACCTGTGGAATAAAGTCCGACTTCCAATGTTTTCTCTATTTCCCAAAGGCCAGAATGTTTTCTAAGGAAAGTTTTAGGAAGCCTCAGTTTTATAAACCCAGTTTTTGTAATGGAAACCCCCTTGTTCCTGGCAACAAGGGGGTCCACCACAGGGTATGTGTCAAAAGATCAACCCCCATATCTTTCCTTTCTTCAATACATTTAAGTGGGCATCAGTGAGCAAAGGTCAAGACTGAATGTGGGTTGCTGGTCTATAGTCATACTAGCTAATGCCTTTCCTTTTCTTTTAAAATGTATTTAAATTAAAAACAATCTTATTTTACATACCAAGCTCAGTTCCCTCTCCCTCCCATCCTCCTATGCCTCCCACCAACCCACCCATCCCATCCCCCTTCTGATCCCCAGGGATGGTGAGGCCTTCCCTGGGGATCATCAAAGTCTGTTACATCATTTAGGGCAGGGCCTAGGCCCTTCTCCATGTGTCTAGGCTGAGAGAGTATCCCTCCATAGGGGCTAATACCTTTCCTATATCTGTCTTCCTCAGTTTCCAGTCCAGGCCTGAGGACAGTGGAGGCTGGGCCATGACCCTGTATTTATACCCAGAGTGCAAAACACAAGAGTCAGGAGGAGGTAGAGGGGCCCAATGAACCCTTGATTTCCATGGTGCATACTCTGGAGACAGTCCATTCGGCAGCAGCATCTGTGGCTTCTGCTCTCTTGACCTGGGTGTGGTGGATCCACGGTGTAGAGACTCACCTTGCCGGGTCCTTTTCAGGCTGACTTCAGTGCCCCTTTGGCTCCCTGTCTGACCCAGACAGACTCACTGCACTGGAACAAGGGGAAACTGGTGGGGGACTCCGGGGTCGGCTGTGTCTCTGGGACAGTCCAGTGAATAACTTTTATGGAGAACGGGAGTGCCTCTAGTGACTTGAGAACCATTGGTTAGGGAGTTCTGCCAACTGCTGGTCTCTGAGCCGGGGAAGCAGTGGGGAGATCTTCCAAACATAATCTCATAGGGGATAAATCCCTCACTATATGCGGTGCAGCGGACCACAGCAAAGGAAGGAGGCCTATCCATCCTTTGCTGGACTCTAATGGGAGCTTTGTTAGAGTTTCTTTTAATGCCCTGCTTATTCTTTTCACCAGGACAGAACTCTGGGGTCTATATGCACGATGAAGTTTTTAATTTTTGTCTAAAGCTTTGGCTATTAATTGAGAGGTTTTGGTTATGAAAGCTGGGTCAGTGTCTGACTCCATTGTTAGTAGGAGGCAAATCAGTGGACCAGTTCCTGGAGGACCTTTTTATCTACTCTTTGAGCAGTTTCAGTCGAGGTGGGGAACATTTCTACCTCCCCATAAGAAGTTTTCTATAAAAACTAGCAAGTACTTTTATCTTCCCCCAGCAGGCCAGAACTTGGCGAAGTCAGTTTTCCCAGAGTTTGTGGGCCTGTTGGTCTCTTATTTGGATTCCTGCCTGGGTAAGGGCTCTCTGGTTTAGATTCACTTGAACACAAACCTGGCATCTGGCTGAGACATCCCACACTAGGCTGTCCAGTCTAGGTGTAACATACCTTGGTCTGAGCAACTCAGAAAGTTTTGTGGAGCCCAGATAAGTATCCTGATGAAGGTCAGTTGCCAACAGTTCTGCCAATTGTTTCTGGGAGAATATCTTTCCCACTGGTGTCCTCCATCAGCCTGTAGGTTTGAGCTGTCCATTACTTCTTTTCCATGGTGTGTCAGGCAGCACTGGGGCATGGTATGTCATCAGGATAGCAATAGGCCCCACTGGTCTTGGGGCTGTTTGTCTGGCAGTCAGGTGAGCAGCCTGGCAGTGGAGAACAGCAATTTGTAGGGGAAGCCAACTGGCCTCCAGGAGGGCCAAGAATTTTTTTTCTTGAGAAGCTGTCTTTCTCTACAGGTCATACTGTGGACATGGCCGTTAGTAGAAGCATACTGACTGACAGTCTGTGTATATGTTGGTGGACTTTTCCCCATCTGAGCCAGGGTCAGATTGATCAGTTCTACTTTCTGGGTTGAGGCAACTGACTTGTGCCCAGATCGTTTCAGTTAAAGTAACTACTACAACTCCCACATAGCTGGTTCATCTTTCATCTCCTGACAGTCATGGATAAGCATCGTCAGGTGAGAGGGATAAGATCTTGACCCAACATTAACTGGTTAGCTTTCTTTCTTTAAACTAGCAGTAACTGCCACAGCTCTTAGATAGGTATGCCATCCTGCGGTTCCAGTGTCCAAATTCATAGGGCATTTTCTTGGCTCCAAAGTTTGGGTTAAAGCCTCTTTTGTCTGGAAATTCTAGAGCTGGAGTGAAACTCGGAGCTGTTTTAAAAGCCTCAAATGCCTTTTGTGTAGTCTAGATTAGGGGCCCAGTGTCCCACTTTGTACTGGTGTATAGAGGCCTTCCTATTTCTGCAAACGCTGGTATCCAGAGACAGCAATACCTAGTTGAACCTAGGAACTCTGGAACCTGTGTCTTAGGGTTCTGAAAGATGGCAGCAACCCTACTCTGAGACAGGCTCCTTTTGTCTCCCCTCAGCTGATAGCCAAGGTAGGTAGCCTCTGATGGACAAAGTTGGACTTTCTTAGCCAATGTTCTGTTCTTTAGTCCAGGGTCTTGTAACTCTTGCAGCAGTCCCTCAGTGACCCTTTGTAATCTATTTTCCCAGGAAAGCTTTGACAGGAGGGTAGGAAGTCTGCATTTAATGTCTTTAAATACTGAGGCAACCTGGTCCAGGTATGTTGCCCACTTTAACCTCCCTCTGGGTCTGTCCATTTAAAATCAAAGATGGGTAGACTTGCTTCTGCTAATGGGAGGTTAAAGAATCATCTTTCAGGTCCAAGATGGTGTACACCTGTTTCTCTGGAGGAATCAGACTCATGAGAGTGTTTGGGTTTGGTTCTGTGGTGTGGATTGTCTTAACCCCCTTTTTACTTCCCACAGATCTTGGGCAGGTCTGTAACAGGAGATCCCAGGTTTCTTCACAGGCAAGAGAGGAGAGGTGTATTCCAGGGTGAGTGGCAGGGCACCAAGACTCCTGCCTCTTCAAACCACACAACATGGACTGCAGTTTCCCCTTTTGTTTCCAGGATAAATGGGTATTATTTAATATGGACAGAGGTGGGTGAGTTGGTTAGTTAAACAATTACAGGAGTTTGGTGTTGGACCAGTCCTGGGATTGATTTCTGCTCATATTCCTGGGAATATTTGTTGTTAATCTGAGAGATAATCCAACTGTATCTTTTGATTGGTGACAGAACTCTGTTAGGAGATATTCTTCCAATAGAGGGTGAGGCAACAACATTTTGCCGGGTATCTGTAGGTCCTACTGTCTCATCATCAGAGAAGGTGACAGTGGCTTTCAGTTTATGCAAAAGGTCTTATCCTCATCAGTTCCCTGTTGTTAAACACCCTTTAAGATACCTCCAGCAACTGGGGCCTACTTAAGACCTTTTTTTTTAACTTTTATAACTTTTTTCTAATATCTGGGACTGGGTAACAAAAGAAATCTTTTTAGCAGCTGTGTTTAATCCTTCTAAAATGAACCTAGTGAAAATCGCCTAGAGTTCCCTTGGTCAGCATTGGACAGAAGGAAAAATCCATTGTCCAGGCTGTGTTGTCTGGCAGTGAGCCCCCTCTGCCCAGCCCAGCCCAGGGGCGGTTTTTCTACTTTTTTCAGAGAATGGTGAGTTTTATGGATCATTGCTTTAAAGGGAGTTATACATCATGACAGAGAAAGGAGTGGAACTTTCTCTTTTCCTTTGGACTCTGCCCAGTGGACCTTCCACTTCCCTGGGGCTGCTTAGATTAGGCCGGAGCAGAGGGAATGCTCACCTGCTGCAGGAACTCTTGCCCTGTCCCTGTGTGCATTCCACTTAGATGGTAGGGGACCCTGAATGAGATGACCAGCTCTACCTAACTACACACAGAAACCAAGCCTGACTAAGCAGGAGTCAAGCAAATAAGCAAGCAGGAGCTCCACTCTAAGTTCCTTCTCCAGCACCGTGTCATCCTGCATGTCACCATTTACTGCCATGACAATAATGGACCTTTGAAACTGTAAGCCATCCATGCCCAGCAGTAAGTGGGAATTCAAAATAAACTCAATGGTATTTTGTGGGGCTTTTGCTGTTTGTTTTGTTTTTGTATTTGTCTCATAATGCTTTGTCTGGCCAATTTTTTTTTAACTTGCAGATGTTTTGCTTATATCTTACAGTTTCTAGTTTTGTGTTTTAACAGGATTTCTCTGTGTATGCATGTATGTCTCTGGGTCTGTATGTATTTCTTGTGCTTTTGCTTTTGCTCATTTTTTCTGTTCGTTTTTCCTATTCGGATCTAGGAGGATTTAAATTTTTTTAAAACTATGATTTTATAAGATTATTTAGCTGATTTAAATTTTTGGACAAGCAATAGGTTGGTGTAAGAACCAATCCTAGTACATATTTAGTCTTTTTGATTGTTTGTGATGCTCCTTTTTTTCAAAAAAAGAATCTTTTAATAAAATTCCTAATTTCAAAGAGCAAGATATTCCTTAGTACATTTATAAAAGAACATTTGATCCCTTTACAAAAATATCCCATTTAATTTAAATACATTTTTATTTACAGATTAAACATGAGATATCATCTATGGTTGCCAAGCATGTTGCACATCAAAGAGAAAGGTAAGCATGCATCTCAGTAAGTTATCCCAGAGTTTTCAACTCTGGATATTTTTTTTGTTTTATAAACACAGATTTACTTTTTGTGTATATAATAAATAAAGCTGTATACAGCTTGTAGTTTGCTATTTAACACTAAAACAAAATACCTTAAAATCTTATTTGTCTGCCTCTCAGAAAGAGGGAAGTGGTGAAGATAGGTTTCATGGGTACTTGACATCTTTAGGAGATTCACATCCAAACTCAAGAGGGACCATAACCCTGAACCCTGCTGAATCGGGGTCACAAGGCCCACACACATCACCTTCTCCTATTCACAAGGAGTCCCTGCCCCGCAGGGAAGAGGCGCTAGAGTAGGCACTGGACTGATGGAGCGGAAGAGCAAAGATCAGCACCTTCTTCTCAAGTCCCTGCTCTGTGACTGAGGTGATCACTCAGGCCTAGCCTCTGACCAGCACTAAATGTATGCATGTCAAGAGAACAAGACCTCAGTGCCCTGAAGGAAAGGGATGTCTGATGGAGAGTCTATAAGACCCAGAGTGAAGAACTACAGTGGACACTCATTCACCGAGCTGAGAAGGAGATGACTAAGAGGGATATTTTTCTTCCACAGGGGTGAGAGGAAAGAGGAGATGGCACAGAGACAACTGCATTAATCCGACCAGTAAAATATGGATTCCCTGACACTCACCTTCACAGGCACTACCCTCACGTGTTTTCCCTTCAACACACATAAAACTATTTGAACATCATGTGCAGAGGCCAAAATCCAAGACAAGAAAAGCCCAGATATCATCATAACTAGAAATTCAGTTAGAAAAAATAAGCTCTGGCAGATCAAAAAGAAACTAAAGGGAAGCTTTGGAAAGCAAACCTGTTTTTCACAACAGCCAAAGCAATCAGAGCCACCAAGCATTCCTTTGTCACCTCCTCTTCCAGGAAAATGGAGTTCCTCTGTCACAGTATTTACAGCAGCTAAGGCAAGCCTGTTGATTGTAGGATAACTAGGCTCCACCACACCTAATGATAAGGTAACTTGCTACACTTAGAACATACTGGTCAAACTGGACACTAGACACTGGCTACTTCTGGGAACACGAGCATGGTCCAGCTCTACAGATGTTGCAAACATCTGTGAAGCTATATGTTCATATTTCAGGTATTCCTGGAACAAAGCAGTGAATTAGAGAATTTCCACCCTATGTCAGCATACAGAATAGAAGGAACAGAAAACACACTACAAGATATACATCACAGTTGCTGACATTTTGATTTTTTAGAAAGCAAGCAAGTCAGCTTTGAATTTGACTCAAATGGCATTCTTTGAATGACTGGCACTGGTGTTCTTCATCTGAATCTGCTTGTGATACTTTTGACGGTGATTGCTATAATGCTGAATAGTCTCCCGGCCTTAACAAGTATCATACCAACTACTTTCTTACAAAGTTTAAACTCCACAAAGCCTATAGTTGTTATAGCTAGAACTGTGACACTCAGGACAATTTCAATGCTGTTCTTTTTTTTACATTTGTCATCATTTTCTACCAATTATTTTTACAAGTCGTATTCATGTACTACCAAATTAACACATGAATGGATGCATGAGTGAATGAATTAGAGAAAAAAAGAGGTGAGCCAATATTTCCAACAATAAACAACTCATCACGGCTGATGATATAGCTTGGACCTAAAGCATGTGCCTTGCATACTTGAGACCCTAAGATCAATTTCCATCCCTGCAAGGAACAAACAAAAGTATTGCCAGCCCTCAGAAGGAGAGACTTTGAAGAAGTTCGTTCATTGGGAAAATGGTTTATCAATTACTTTTGGTGTCTCCTATCCACCAACAAGTTCCACTGAATATCCATTTAAGCATATGTTTGTATGTCCAGGCATATGATTGTCTAATTTCTTTCTCAAGATTCTTTATCACATGGAAAAGAAGGTGAAAGCTACTATGTGATGGGAATATAGAGGCACTTTAAAAAAGGAAAGTTAATAAGTATCAGCCACTGAATGAAGGCTCTATGATGGCATATAAAGTAGTCATCAATCTCATTATCTGGGGACAGCATTTAAGGTAGCCTCGATGCCATTTGGTGTCATCCTTGTAGATCTCTGAACTGAACTCCTGGAACCCAGTTGCAAAAAGGAAGAAGTGATGAGCAAAGGGGTCAAGACCCAGTTGGTAAAACCTACAGAGGCAGCTGACCTGAACAAGGGGTAGCTTATGGACCCCAGATTGATAGCTGGGAAACCAGCATAGGACCAACCCAAACCCCCTGATGGTGGGTGTCAGTGAGTAGGCCTCGGCAATCTATGGGGCCTCAGATAGTAGATCAGTATTTGTCCCTGGCATACAAATGGACTTTGGGAGCCCATTCCACATGGAGGGATGCTCTTTCAGCCTAGACACATAGGGGAGTTCCTAGGCCCTGCCAGGGATCATATGATAGACTTTGAAGATCTCCCATGGAAGATCTCACTCTCAGAGGGGAGTGGGTAGTGAGGGAGGAGGAGAGGGAGAGGGAGCTGGGATTGACATATGAAGCAAGCTTGTTTCTAATTTAAATAAAAAAGAAAAATAGTATAAAACAAGTTTTACTATATTGGAAAAATCTACAGCTCCAGTCTCCTTGAAAAAAATGTGATATCATATTCCAATAACTTAAGTTTCAAACTTTGTTACCTAAGTCATTAAACAGGCACTTTGGCTATACCTCTGATTGTCTAATTTCTAAAAGCCAAACATTCTAAAATTTTGGGCCTCTATTGCCCTAGAAATATGTCACTATATTAGTCAAGGATCTCTGGAAAATTGAGATTAATATAAGAGCTGGTCAACAAATTAGATTTATTAGCCTCAAAATATGAGAGAAAAATAACATTCTAAACCTAGCTAGCCCCCATATCTTTTTCATTTAAATTAGAAACAAGCTTGTTTTACATATGAATCCCAGTTCTCTCTGCCTCCTCTCCTCCCCTTCCCCCCACCGATCCCCTATCCCATCCTCTTTTTGTTCCCCAGGGAAGGTGAGACCTCCCATGGGGGATCTTCAAAGTCTGTCATATCATTTGGAGCAGGGCTTAGACCCTCCTCCATGTGTCTAGGCTGAGAGAGTATCCCTCTATGTGGATTGGGCCCAAAGTCCATTTGTGTACTAGGGATAAATACTGGTCCACTACCTGAGGCCCCATAGATTAACCAAACCTCCAAACTGACATCCTCGTCTAGGGGGGTCTCGAACAAGGTTTCCCAGCTATCAGTCTGGGGTCCCTGAGGTTCCCCTTTTTCAGGTAAGCTGTTCCTGTGGGTTTCAACAGCCCAGTCTTGACCCCTTTGCTCATCACCCCTCCATCTCTGTCACTGGGTTCCAGGAGTTCAGTTCAGTGTTTAACTGTGGGTGTCTGCCTCTGACCTACCTGAAAGGTGCTTCCTACTCATGATGGTGATTATTAGCTTCATAATCAATATAATTTTGTTAATGAAATGGCTCAAAAATAGGAATAAACTTATACAGGTCATACAGTCATCGCAGGATAGTTTTGAAATCTTAATACAAAGGATTCAGGAAATGCAAAATTCATTGCAGGAGAGTAAGAAAGGGTTGGTAGAAAATATTCAGGATATTAAAAATGATAATGTAGGTCTGACGAACAGGTTTAAAGAGACGGAACACAAAATTGAATTATTTTCAGGAAAAATGTGTTCCATAGATAGAATTGAAAAATTGGAACATAATGTGGAAACATTTAACGACAAACACGGTTCCATGTTTGATGATTTCACTAGCAAATTACAAAGACTGGAACATAAAATTGAAATGCTAGCAGAAAAGAATTGTTCCATGTCTGAGAGCAATGGTAAACTAACTGATAGAATATTATTTGTAGAAGGCAGTTTACATGCTATTGAGGTACTTGCTAAGGATGAGAATATTAGAAATTTGGAATCACATGTAAATGATGAATGTAAAAAATGAAAGATTCCATGACATCCTTAGAAAATCATTTGTCCCAAGAACTTCAAGAGCTCAGAGAAACAATGATGAATAGACTGCAGGATTTAGAAGACGCTCAATCTGATACTTCAGAATCAGAAATACAGGCAACAGGTCAGGACAGGAGTTTCCCAAAGCTTCTCAAATGCCAGAATGATTTCCCTAAGGTTGCTATGCGTTCCCCTATGGTTTTTCCAGTATCTGTATCAGAAAAACCAGCAACGAAAAAACAATCAAATGGTCCCATTGCTTATCACTGGGAGCCTATACAGATGAAGGATCTAAAAAATATTAAGGAGGCCATTGTCATGTATGGTCTTCATTCTCCCTTTGTCAGAGAGCTCCTAACCTCATGGGCTACATGTCGACTCTCTTGTGTTCTCCTTCCCAGAGTTCTCCTGGACTCCTAGTCCCTCCTATCTTGGTTCCCTATAGGCTCAACAGTACTTTATTGACAAATACACAGGACTTCCCCCAACACCTCTGCTTCCATCAGTCACTGGATGAAGGCTCTAGGATGGCATATAAGGTAGTCGTCAATCTCATTATCGGAGAAGCAGCCCCCATATCTTGTGCCAGAGCCCCACTTGGTGAGTTCTTCCCCCAACTGCTGCCATGTTCCTCAGTCCTTAGATACAGCTCAGATCCTGCATCCAGTGCCCCAGGTTTGTCTTTTCAACCATGGATACATTGTTCCTAAACTCCAGGCCTGGGCAAGGACCCACACCTTGCATGCTAGCTCAGCCTCCTGACTTCATCCCACTTGAGCCATATCCAACCCCCAAGCCAAGGCAGGCCAACAAGGAGACAAAAATATTGAAAAGAACTCAAGCTGAAATGAAGATGGAATTGAAAATGTAATGACTCAATTAGAAAACTCAGGAGAAAGCCTTTCAAGTAGAATGAAACAATAGAAAATAGACTATTTAGACTCAAAAATAAAACACAGGAAACAGGAACTAAATCATACAAGCAAAGGATATGGGCTGGGGTATACCACAGGAAAAGAACATAAAGGAATTGTGGGACACCATGAAAAGGCCATACCTTCAAATTATATGCATAGATGTGAGAGAAAATGTCTAGGACAATGGCACTGACCACATCTTCAACAAGATCGTAGAAGAAAACTTCCGCAGACTAAGGAAAGAAATACCCATACTGATACAAGAAGCACACAGACCTCCAACTAGACAAGACCAGAAAATAAAATCCCCATGGCATATCATAGTTAAAACACTAAATATACATAAACAAAGAGTATTGAAAGTTGCAAGAGAAAAATTCAAATCTCATATATAGGAAAACCCATCAGAATAACAGCTGACTTCTCAATGGAAACTTTGAAAGTCAGGAGACCCTGAAGCAATGCACTACAAGTTTTAAACAACCAGGGATGCCAATCTAGACTACTGTACTCACCAAAACTACCTGCAACAATTGGAGGAGAAATAAAAAGTTTCCATGATAGTGAAGGAGAGTTAGAGGGAGGTAGATAGATTAGGAAAGTAGAAGCAGGCCTTCTGAGATGGATGCTTTTTGCTCCTCCCAAAAAATATTGTGAGGAGAAACTATGGGAAGGCATGGGCATGGGTATCTAAAGAGGACACATAGGTGAAAGGAGAGGGTTCAGGGGTCTAACAAAACATCAAGGCCAGTGTCTGTTTAACTAACATCCAGCCTTAGGCTTCTCCGATCCTGAATGTATAAAGTTGTTATTTTTTATTTTTCCGTGGATTGGTCTTCTGTCTTTCTCCATCAGGAATAGGGAAAGTAGTGGCTTGGGTTCTAACCGAGTAAGATGTTTGATCATTAATGGCTGGAAATAAATTTCCCCTTAAGAACTAGGGTGGAAGCTTAGGCTGCCAACCTAAGCAAAGGAACTGGAAAAAAACAAGCCCCAAAGAAATCCATCATCTTCCTTGGGTAGGAGGGCAGACTCTCCTGGGAAAGGTCCATGGGAAGGTCACATATTTGTGAGATAGCTTCTTCACCCCGTACTTGGCTCTTGAGCCTATGAGCTGTGAATAGATAAGTAGGGGTACATGGGGGTAGGCTATATGGTGGGAGGGAGGATTCAACTTCTGTTTCTTGAGCTGTTTTAGCACCTTCAAGCAAACACGGTTTGCTTAAATTCTAATGGAGGCAGCTATGAATTACCTAGAAGGTAAAGTTCTGTCTCTGTGTAGGAATGCTTCCTTGGGTGCTAGCATTCCTAAGGGAATTTGTCTGTTGGTCCAGAACCTACATAACTACTGGAGATCTGTCTTTCTTCTTCCTTGGAGCTCTCAAGAGAGGTATGAATGCACTGCTTCAAAGATGTATCACCATATGTGAACTTAGGCAGAGATATAGGGTGACAGGAACAGGGCCTCTCTTAGCTGGACTATGGGGTGAATGACAAAGGCACTCTCTATACATGCTCTTTCTCCAACCCAGACTCCCCCATGTTCCTGCTGTGGGTGATCTCTACTGGCCTTGAAGGAGATACTGGGTTCTGGAGATCAACAGGATGATAGGAAAACTGAGAAGAATGTTGTGGGAGCAATAGCTATAAGCCTTTGAATAGGGCTCAGCATGCAGTAGCCCCAGGGTTCCATTCCTAGCACTACAACATTGAGGAATCAGTGGAGAAAATAGGGGATTCTTTGCACCAGCATCATAGTTTGCCAGATGCCAGTAGCAACTATAGGTTGACTTGCTTGGGTGAGAGGCTGGAAATGAGGGATCTGCTGGCTCTTGATGCCTGCTCTTTTGGTCCAGCATCTCCAACTCTGTTTTTCTCTATCCTTTCTCCCTTGCCTCTGCTTTTGATTCTGTACCATTACACTCTGGAACTCCCACTTTTGTATTCATTTTCCA